TTAAATTATGACCATTTTCTTTGCTCCGCTTTCTCTTTCTTGCAATTTGTGTATTTTGTTCCGGACTTGTTGTAATTTTCACCATCAAGGGCCTTACATTTGCAATATCTCCAAACGTCATTAGGAAACTAGAGTTGACAAAGTGGAGGAAAGTAGACATTTTGAATATGCATGTATTTAGTTGTATCAGATTAAAAGTTCTGCAGCTACACTAAGAACTGACTGTACGAACTGACACATCATAACTCTACGTGTCTCATTCTACAACTCAATAATGATTACATGCTATCTGAATACTTTCTTGCATTACGTTTGACAATTCTTAACTAACCATGACTATTTTATTGCAATTTGTTGTGCTTTGATAACTTGAGTTTTACAAATGGTAAGTTGTTCGTTAGAGCAGCAGAATAGATTGGAAGCATTGCTTTCTTTAGAGATATTTGTGGTATAAATATTAGATGCTTAATGTTCTATAATGGTATTCTTCATAATCATATGTGTTCATGACGAAATAAATAAAGTGAAATAATTGTGTCATCTATGGTCAGTATCTCCTGCTATTTTATGGAAAAACTGAATTTCTACTGTTGCATAATGACGTTTAGGACAAATGCAGTAACAATAGTTGCATCAAAATTAGATTAATGGATATTCGACAATCAAAAAAGTGCCCTCGCTCAGTGACGGGAGATCATGTTAAGAATAGCAAACACCGTAAAATAGATGATTCTGTAGCAATGACCTTGAAAGAAGAAAAGTTGTCACCTCTGACTGGGAAATAGTGAGATAAAGAAAAATTATATTTTCACTAATAAAAAGACTTGGCACAAAAATATTCTTTTTAAATGTGCTTTCTTACTATGGAGAGCTTTAAGGAATAATATAACCTACATGTTAATCTCTTCTAATAGATCATCAAAGTATGAAGAAACTTAACAATCTTCTATTATCTATTAAGACCCGGATTATGTTTGAGATATTCAACATTCTGCCCATAAGTGAGTGATATTTTGCTATACTTATTTTATTTGACTATATTCAATTTTGTGACAATTGAGATGATCATGAGATGTGCTGAGAAAACATGAATGGAAACCAATGGAATTAAGCTAGATCCTAATTTATGATTTTACTCTCTTATATTGCCTATGTTAGTTAGAGCACATGGTACTTCAATGTTTCCATTAGTTTTGTATTTATGATATGTTGAAGTTTGATGATCTAAGTGAATGAATGTAACTACACCACCTTCTGGTATTGCGAATAGCTCTATCTATACATTGCTTTACCTCTCTAAATTGCAGCCTAACTGCATTTACTTTAAGTAATTACTGTTATCGTTAAGTCCTTTACCTCCCCTTTTATATTCTGAAAGATTAGCGTCGGTAACTACATGTACGCTATAAGTTGCTGAGTAGCCTGACTATGACTTGTGACATAAGAACACTATATCATCTCTTCCCATGTATATCTTTCTATTTTTACCTTTAGTTCTTGATTATTCACTGTGAATTCTCCCGTTGGCATCTACAGATATTTATCTATCTTTGTTCTATTTGAATTTGCTGCAAGCTATCTGAATTTTAGTTGGAGTGCGAGTTGTACAAATATACTTACTTTTGAATATATGAAATCGAATTGCTAAACATAAGATATATGTCTCCATATTAGAAATCAATTTCTCATTGCAATCTGAATCAAGTTACTTTGAAGATTGTTCGGACATAAAGATAGTTGACCAAATAAGTGATGTGGTAAGAATTAACAACTTTGAGAAATTATTTAACTTTCCTCATGGGAATTGATCCTTTGAAAACCTGTAATTGGATCGGCGTCATGGAAATTAGTAGTTCCTTCTATGATTTATTTCTATATGGCCTTTAACTTTATTAGTTGATTCTAATCTTCTAAAATACATATTTGGACCTATAACTTAGTATAAATATGATCAGAATTTGTGGGCATTACTGGCACAGCAAAATAATTACATGGACTTCCATTAGATTAACTACATCTAGGTATAATCATCTTGCCTCGGACAGCTTTACTTGAGTACACAATTTTATCTTCATTAGTCCTACTACATCCTCTCTGTAAATTTTACAAAATTATTACTTTTCTCTCATCATATATACCAGACTCTAAGTTGTTCATTTTCTGTCATTTCTAGCAGCTATCAGACTTTGTTATATTTGCTATTTTATAACTCGGTTGTAATTGTATTTCTCTCTTAATACCTTTTGGTACTAGGTAACTTTTCTGCGGTGTATCTTTGAGCGACTTGTGAAATCATCGTTAGAGAATATAGGTGGATGTGTATTAAATTTGATTGAAAGATAAAAATAAAGTCAACTCCTCGGTAATGTGAGTTCCAACAACAGATGACATCTTTTACTCTGGTAGACAATGCGAGAAACTACTGAAGAGATGTTCGTCTTCGTCACTAATCATATACTTTTCTAGGTAGACTTTTGTTAATATCGCGGTTCTTGAATTTACTTGTAAGAACAGAGAAACCCTTGAAAGCGAATATGTGAGCTCAAATCTCCACCGCTAGATTGATTTGGTATTTGGTTACAAGCAACGGGGATAGCCAGCAGTTAATGTAAGCTTTAACTTCAAATAATTGTTAAACCAGTTGCAAATTTTGAATTTCACTGAATTTTTGGAGATATTGTCATACACGAAACAACCATTTTTTATTATTTGACATATGAAGGAGTTGTGGATATGGATACCATAGATGATGAATTGCAAAGGTTGGCGATGTTAATGTGTTGAACTCAAACATTTTCCTTGTGAACCAGGGCCTCACCATGTCCATTAAGAAATGGGTGACCACCCAGTTGCAATCCAGTGGGAACTTCACCTTCTCTGGCTCACATGTAAGTTTTATAGCAATAACAAAGTAGATCATTATGATCATTATGACCACCCAGTTGCAATCCGTTTTTGGTTCTGATGTACGTCCTTCCTCGAAAAATTAGGAGTCCTTTGGCTGAAAATATTGAGCTTGCAGTGCAATGCTTGGGAATATTATCAACATATGATTGGTACTTGTGAAAACAACTTTCAATTTATATGGCTAACTAATGGAAGAATGGTGCGGAGCCTTAGACAACATAAGGATTGTCTAATTGGGTGCTTATAGATTTTTTCTGTTCAAATTTGGTGCAAAGCAACTTGTTAAAAAATGGTAAAGCATTCCAGTTGATATGTTACCGTCAGAATCGGAAGGATAACAATATATCTTTGTTTACGTTGGACCCAGGCGAAGCCCGGGCAACCCCCACTAGTTTACTACTATTAATAAGGGAGAATCGGGAGCTGCTTCCGGTCAAAGTGAATTGACTGAAAAACCCAAATCACTTTAGTTTATCTCTTGTCATCCTCCTTGCCTATCTGGGGTATTTTTGGTATTCACATCTAATGCACTTTAAATACTCTGCCTTTATTTATCTGTCTAGACAAAATGTTGTGGGCCCTTTTAATTTGTCATTTACACGTTCGAAGGCTACTATGATTCATGGGCCCGCTTAAATTTATTATTTCACACCATAATTTTACAATTTACGTTTCTATGCACATGTTTAGATTAATGACTATGTGAACTCCGCTTAAATTTATCAATCTCACGTCCAATTCCTCCTTAAATCAACAACAATATACCCAATATATTTTTTTATAGTATGTGATCTGAAGAGGGTAATACATACGTAGACCTTATGCTTACCTCGCAAAAGTAAAAAGACTGTTTTAGATAGATTCTCAGCTCAAGAAAAATAATTTACATTAGGTTTGAAAAATAAATCCTCCCTTAAATGGATACACTAATTATACACTGTACTAATTATGTAATATTTAAATTGTGTAAATATTTTTTTTCTCTTGCTTTATAGTTTAAAAGTGAGTAACATTTTCTGTCTTAATATTGTATTTGATATTAAGAATAAACGAGTATTAACTACTATAACCAAGTAAAATATAAATTATTTTATAAAAGGCTAGTCCTTAAATATTACGATGCCATTTCAAATCAAAACATTGAGTTACTTTTATTAATTATTAATTAAGCTATTCTCATTTGAAAAATNATATATAAAAGAGTATATATATATATTCTGATACATATAAAAGAGTATTCTGATACACATTTTCAAATTAGAACTCACGATATTACTGTTCAAACTGTATTAATTTCACCATTTGAATTTTCGTGATTATTTTGAATGTTAAGTAAACATTCAAGGTGCAATCAATCAATTATCTTTAATTAAATTAATTAATGAGAAAACTTTATAAAAAGGAAGAGTGGAGTTGGTACTGCTTTACAAAATATTTGTTTCTATATATTAAGGTCCACCTCTAATGTAATACATATCTTTTCTTATGTTAAAAGAAGACATCTCATATTATTTAATACTATTAACAAGTGAATTATCGACGAATAAAATTACAAACTCTCTGGTTATTCACAAGTTAACGAGATTTAAATAAATTAGGGATTTTTTTCTTAAATTTAACACTCCCATAAATTAACTAAATATGTTACCTATGATTTTTTGTGCTACAAATAAGCCTACTTATTACTTACTAAAAATAATATATTGTAAATTTCACATTAGAATACGAGGAACAAAAAAAAAACACAAACACAAAGAAATAGCAAGTTGATGAAATATTGGTACCATTTTATTTCTTTTTCTTTGATGTTTAATTTCAACAAAATAAGTTTAACATCGTATAGTTAACTCAGAAACACAATAGTTTTTATTGAATAAAGATACATATGAAATTTCTATCTTTAAATATATAATTTAAAGTAACATTAATGATCTTTATAAAATAATTGGAGTAATGCAATTAAGAATATTATTTTTGTAATTAAGTGTTGGGTCCATGTCAAGCATGGGCCTATCCTTCATCTAGTATACATTACTACTATTAATAAGCGAGAACCCAGAGGAGCTTCTGGTCAATGTGAGTTTTCTAAAAAAAACACAAAATTCAATTTATTTCAATTTTGCCCCTCAGACTCTCAGATGCTTCATAAAGAGCTTTGAAAAATTAGAAAAGTTGTGTTACTCTATGTGGAGTTATCTTCATCTTACCACCGCTTTCCTTTATCTTCGTCTGTGACTTTCTTGTTTCTCTCTCTCGCTCTCGCTCTCTCTGACGTATATAAAGGTAGGCCTTTAGGGGGACATGGCGATTGCAGTGGCGACTCAACCACACCAACTCAAGGTAACAATAGAATAAGACAATTTTGGAAAAATCAAAAACTATTGAACTTTTGGATTTATATTGAAAATTTGTCGCAAGCTTAAGGATTTTAGGATTTTAACCTATTGAATTATCAGTATTCTCTTTTATTCGATTTCAATATTGCGATGAGCTTGAATTTGACATATTTGTGGCATCCCTTTTGGAGTAATAAATTTTTTCTCCATTTTCAATTTGTGGTAAATAATTAGTATTACATTTATTATTTCAGCTTAAATGACAGATTTTTGGAGCAGAATTTAGTATACATTGGAAAATTTGCGAAAAATCTTCAGTTACCTGAGTTCTAAACAGGAGTTAGGGTTGTGGGTTAGGGATTTCTCATGGAAATATTTTAGAACAAAATGAGATGTTGACTTTCTCCAGCTCTGTTATGAAAAACTTTATTGAAAAAAAATATTACTACTTTTTTTTGGGGTGTAAACTTTTTCTTTTTGTAAACTGGGTTTATTAGGATTTTTAACTTCTACAGGGTCTTCTGGCGGCATAGTGGTGGATAACCTTAGATGGACTCCACTGATTTTCACATTAGAAAGCCCCTTGGAAGAAGAAAATCCGGTCATGTATAATATACAATGATAAATAATATATAATAGATGACTAAACTTATAATTAGTTTAGCTACTCAACTAATCATGCTTTGTTAACTCAAGATATTATTCATCTGTTGTTGTTTAATGGAGATGCCACGCCATTCTTATTGCACATACATTTTAGAAAGAAAACTATTTATCCTCTTCTTCTTTGAAGTTTAGATTTATTTGTGAGTTTGAAGTTTGTGTGGAGGTAGTTTAGTATGTACAGTATTTATAGGAGACGGTACAAAACTATAATGCATTGTATCAACCTTGGGGAGCTTTGAATACTTTACTAAAATTGTACGTACTGGAATACTTTAAATCTCAACCAAGCTTGGCGGAAATAATCAAGCATTTCAGTGCAATTCTTCAGGGGGAGTTCACGATAGGAAGCGACACATTTAGCATTCAGAGTACTTACTCTTAAGGGTGAGTAAATTACATTAATTTTAGAGTTTACAAAATTAAATAAAGTGTGTAGCCTCTGTATATCTAGAAAGTTTATTAGTTGTCTACTGAAGACATTTGCTTGCTTTTCTTTTGTTAGTCGTTGCATATGTTTCTTTGATGCTTTAAAGGCTATAGTTCTAAGGTAGTGTTCTGTCATAGAATGATGTTGCATGAAGAAACGTGGTAATATCTCGAGTCCCTTATGTATTATGTTAAAGCTTGTGTATCTCTCATTTTATCAGTAATTTGGTATTTTTAACAATTGCCATGCTGCTTTATATAATGCTTAAGCCAGCTGGTTGAGTATCATACCGTGAAATCAAAGATTTTCTTGTTTACTTATTGGGGTGTTTACCCGAAAAATGGATAGAGTAGAATTTATACGCAGTTCTGAGGATATAAGGCATAACTTAACACAAAGTGTAAGGATAAATAGAAATGTAAATATAGATTGCAGAGAACGCGAAATAGATAAGGTTGTTAAGAACAATTAATCTTAGAATTCAACAAATAGAATCAATCTAAGAAATCTGAAAGAACGATTCTTTACTGTAGAAGAATATAACGATTTTATTACAATGTAAGCCTGAGAAAAATTTGTCATACAGAAATGGTAACCAAGCCCTTTTATAGTGGAGGGATTTTTCTTTAAGCATAATAAAATAAACATTCAGTGGGAGACCCATAATAAGTTAGCTTTTCCACAATTTCTGCCAAGATTCTCTCTAGTGGGATTGCAACGGCTTTTGTCTGCGAGCTCGATCTTGCTTAGAACCCTCGATTTTGGTTTGAGCTTGATTTCGACTCAAGCTTGTGATCTTGGTTCGAGCCCGATCCTAGCTCGAGCCTTCGAATTGATTCGAGGTCAATGTTGGTTGGTCTCTAGATTATCAGCATGATAGATCTACTCTGCATCATGGTTCGATTTCGATTCGAGCTTGATAATGATATCGAACTCGACATGGATCGGCCTCCCCGAGTTCGAGGTTAATTTGTTCCACCTTCGGGATCTTACTTCGATAGATCACCGTTCGAACTCAATCGGACGTGTTAAGGCCGAAATCTATTTCAACCGTATACAGATAGATAGTCCCCTCGTTTCTCAGAAAGAATGTGGCGAGAAACGATATGATTTTTTAACGGCTCGATCGGATTATAACCTGACATTTCCATCGGGTTCGACCATGATGCATCTGGTAGTTGTCCCGTCGGTTTAGTCTTTCAAGGCATTTAATGCATGTCAAACCGCCATCGCCTGAACCTATAAATAACCCTTTCTTTTATCTTTTACCACTTTTACATCTTCTATCTTCCAAATTTCTCAAGTTCTTCTTCGTACTCTCCAACTTATCAGTAAATCTTTGATTTCTTTCTGCAAAAACTCCTCTTCAATTTTACCAAATCTTTGTCACTTTCTTCTATTCCTCACCTTTGAATTCGAAAATGGTGAAAACATCACAAACCATTCCTCAGAAAGAGGAGGCTTTGTCTTCACATTGTGCCGCCGATGAGACACCGGCAGAACCACGGCCTGATGAGTGTGTTCCCGGGGCGTGTGTTCTTACTTCAGATTTTAAGGTCGATAAAGGTTCATCGGTCCCTGACCGGTGTGAGCCGGTATCGAGGTACATGTGTTCGACAACCGAAAAGCACCTCAAACAGCTAAAGAAGGATTGCAATTGGGGTGAAAAAGAAATAATAATTCCTACCCCTGATGAAGATATCACTTCTTACGTGAAAGGGTTTTTGAATGTGTATACTTACTCTTTCACTTTAGGTCCCCTCAATTCCGTTATCATTGATTTCTGTCGTTAATACCAAATAACCCTAGGCCAGGTCCACCTTTCTTATTGGCGGATTGTTATCCTGATCCGATATTTTGTAAGCAAAATCGGGGGGATATCGTTCACCCTCGACCATCTTATCCGATTATACCGTCCTCGACTTTTTCGAGGAGGGTTAATAAAACTTCAGTGTCGGGCTACCAAGGCTCTGTTCTCGAGTATTGACGAGGACAGGGACCGGGGTTGGATGGGCAGGTTCGTTCGAGTAAGGACTTCGGACCTGATTCCGACTGAAAAGATGCCCTTTCCCGAGGAGTGGAATATGAAACGTAAGTGTGATCTTGCTGTTACTTCTACTTTGTTCTTTCATTTATTCTCTCATCGACACTCCTCATTTATTCTCTCATCGACACTCCTCTTTTTGTGATGTAGTGGTTCCCTGTATGCACGGAGTAGTTCCCGATCTCAAGAACTGGGTACGAGCCCTTGTTTCGACCTCCACATACGCCGAGCGCTCATGGCGTGATTTGTCAAAGGGTCGGTGGGAGGCCAAAAATCACGGTAAGCTCATTTCTCGTACTCTTTGATGATCCGAACGAGGTGGTTTTCAAAATATTTTATTAAGGTTTTCCATCA